AGCAAAACATACACTTTCTCATAGAACAATACATACACACTTTAATACATGTGGACATTAATAAATCGCCACACATTATTAGATGCCCCGATATAAGGGCAAATGCACACTTTTGCAAATGTATGCACTACACAGCCATTGATCCAAGCATCTACAAATCCACACGTCCATATATGTATGCACCTACTCAAACATAGAAGCAAACGCACGATTATCCACAAAGCCAGACATCTACCTGCGAATCAATTCATGCATTTAACCATACAGAAAGCCATACATATGCCTGAATAAAAAACTTCATACAATCATACCTCTGTACATTCATAGGCTTTTCCATTCGCAAATACACCCATTGTGCAGAAGCTCACAGATATTTGTATCCGAACCTCCAATTATGTCGACATTCATATATGCATACGCCTACTCTGGCATAAAAACACACATTCAATCCGACATCAGTACATAAATGCACCCATATATGAAAGCATCCAAGATTTTGCTACTCCATAAATTCTCAAATCTACATATCCACACATGCAAATCCCCACATATCCACTTTCCATACGCCCATAGTTGCATATGGTGTCACAACTATGACTTACCACATGCCCATTCAATACACTCACACGTCCACATGTCCCTGTACCCCGCGATCATAAAGTGAAGTACAACTATGTAAAATTATTGGTCTACAAAAGTATGTTTAGTGTGATTCCCATCGTGTGAAGGTTAAGTGTAAAGCTTGAAATGTGATGTGGAGCTGGTGTCCACATTTGCGTATCGCTTGAACTGCTGCTGGAAGGGGTGAAAGTGCACGTCTTTCATCTCGAAATCGCTCCAGAAGACTATCTGATGCAGTCATAACAAGGCGGTACATTTTATGGTACATTTTCAGGTGTCTGGAGAGGAAATGATGTCACGGTTGGACGAGTTGGCGGGGGACATTGACTTCCGCTGTCCTACACTCGGGTTCGCCGATGCTGTGGCTCGTCTGCCCGATGCTCAGGTCTTTCTATATGAATTCCGACAAGCCACAGCTGCTTGGCCGTTTCCCAGGTGGACCGGAGTGATGCACGGCTACGAGATCGAGTATGTTTTCGGTATGCCCTTCTCCGAGAGATTCCAGGCCCAGTTCTACCCATTCACCGCGATAGAACGTCAGCTGAGCCGAAAAATGATGCGATTTTGGGCCAACTTTGCCCGAACTGGGTAAGTTATTTTCATATAATTCATATGATCGGGCTGCGAGGAAATCTGCAAGGCTTAAGATTTATCTTTAATCGAAAATCTACTTCATCTCAACCGCAATTCTGCAATATAAACTTGAGTCAGCCTAAGCCATTTTAGGTGATTGGGCTCTTTCACATAATGCCTCTCAAAAGGTTTTCCCATCCAGACTGGACTGGAGTTCAGTGTCTAAACTGGCGTTTAAACGTGGAGGCATACTACCACACACCCATACAACCACGGGCACAATTTAGTAACGGGACAGATGTCTTACTACTCTTATCGAATATAAGTAGCCTTGTTAATTGTAATAGCAAATACATGTGAGCTGAATCACCCCAGTTCACTTAAGGGAACTTTACATTGCCATTTAATTTCAAATAGTCTGGCTTTCACAAAAGGTATTCTCATCCAGACAGAAATAACTGCCATTTCGACCCAGCCTAGGTCTTGTCAGATCTAAATGTGAAGGAAGGCCACTTATTTTCCCATATTACATTCTGTGGTGCGATTGTCGATTAAGCAATTGTATTTGCAATGGCAACCGACTATATTACTTATTTCTCGTCTATAAATATGTTTTCGAGACTGACAGTAGATGATCATATATACTAGATGAATTCACCCTATTTCGTTTAAGGTGACAAGGGGACATTTAGTTGAATTTCCCTCAAAATGATACAATTAGTGCAATATTAAAAAATATAAAAAAGTCTAGGGTTTATAATAAGTAATTCAATAAAGTACAGCAAAGAAAATAGCACCACCTATTGCTTTATAAATTACCTGTGAAACATTTTTTTTCTGTAATAAACTAAGGCCTATTCATACCACTGGGAAAATTCAACCCCCAATCCTTCACCACC